CTGTCTTGTTGAATGTGAAACTCTGAATTAACCTGAGTTTCATTTCTCTTTAGTTCTGATCTCACTGCTGAGCTGCACCACAAACCAAGGTCAGTAACCTTCTTCTGTCACACTGTAAACCTGACTCACTCTCTTGGGACACATTAATTATGAACATGGTGCCAAACTTCCGTCAAATCAATGTTATCTTACTCCTGTCAGTCTACATAATTTCATGTTGAATTACAATTAAACAGATGTCTTACACTCAAATACATCTGCACCTTAACAAAGACTCTTATGTACGAAATAATATCTGATTTATTATCATCCAGTAACAATTGATAGTGAATGAAAACAAGGAATATGGGACTAGAAGTTAAGATATGAAATGTAATATGGGCCCTGGTCTATATATCCTCTATTACTCTATTACTCACAGCTCGTCTGACTGTGAGTCCCAGCAGCTCTCAGCTCTTTGAAGGAGACTTTGTGTCTCTGAGCTGTGAGGAGGACGACAGCTCTGCTGGATGGACTCTGAGGAGAAACACAAGCAAACAACAGAGGACTCAGTGTGGGGCTGACTGGGGGAAATCAGCTGGTTCTTCCTGTAACATCAGCTACATATACAAATGGGAGAGTGGAGTTTACTGGTGTGAGTCCAGAGAGGGTCCCATCAGTAACATGGTTAACCTGACAGTCACTGGTAAGCTGAGTGTGTGGAGTTAGTGTTGATGAAGCTGTGTGTAAATGGATGAAATGCTGTAGTTTGTCTCTGTGTTGAGGTGGATCAGTGATCCTGCAGAGTCCTGTCCTCCCTGTGATGGAGGGAGATGACGTCACTCTGCTCTGTAAAACAAAGACCGCTCCCTCCAACCTCCCAGCTGCTTTCTATAAAGATGGCTCCCTCATCAGGAAGCAGCCTACAGGTCACATGACCATCCAGCATGTTTCCAGGTCTGATGAAGGCCTCTACAAGTGTGACATCAGCGGTCATGGAGAGTCTCCATCCAGCTGGATCACTGTCACAGGTGAGGAGCTTCACTCTGATTTCAGCTCTGATTTCATCCACATATTCACCTGAACAGGTGGGATTCTCTCTGCAGAAAAACCTACAGCCACAGTGAAGCCCATCACCTCTGCTCTTCCCTCTTCCACAACACTGGCCTCTCACTCCTCCACCCTCCACCTTGCTATCAGAGTGGTCCTCCACCTGGTGGTGATCTGTCCATATTTCATTTCCACTCTCTTCATGGTGTCTTTATATCGACACAGAGCTAAAGGTAAAACTGAATCATTTCCTCAGTTAGTGTGCTGATGATTAACTCCTTTTGTTCTGAAATCTTCATTGTCTCACATCTGATACTTTTTCATATTTTTTGTTTGTGCAGGGAACAAACTTTCCGTCTCAATCCCTCCCACTCATCCTGAGCAGGGATTAGAGGATAAACATGAGGACATAATTACTGATGTCACCACAGAGCATCGCTTCTGAAACAAACTTCTGTTGTGTCTCTGTGGTCCTCACTAACGTTGTCCTCTTCACCTCTGACGTCATTGGAGTAAATGGACTCTGACGTTCATCTGGATATTTTCATGCAGATAAACAACAAATATTCATCCTAAGAGGAGGATTTCCATGATGTACTGTGTATGTTACTGCAGCTCTGTACCTAAGGTATTTTTCACCAAGTATTCAGGTTATTTCTGAATCAAACCTGCAGATGTTTTCAGATCTGATATTGGAGGAAAACCTAAAAACTGTTACATAGATAATGTTCATGTTTTATGTCCCTGTCCTGCATAATTAAGTTGCTGGACTGTTCATGGGCCGAGGTCTTTTCCCCAGCATGTTTTAACTTGAAATTTAATTTATATATATTATTCTGTCTTGTGCTTGGTATCTTCTTTTTTTAATTCTTCTCATGTTCTGTTTTGTATTCTACCTTAACTCTCCTTGTTTGTTTGTTTACCACTGCAACTCTGTAACTACTCTATTGTAGGAAGCATTCAACTCATTTCTAAATTAAACCTACAACTGTTTTCAGATTAGGTTTTAGAGGAAGGTGTTATTCTACATCCTGTTTTATTTTGGTAATTCTTGTTTTCATCTCCTTTCTGATGAGGATATTAGACTCCTGATGTTTGACTGGAATTATAACTACCAGGCGGTGACTCCATCTGAACCTTTTCCCCTGAAACTACCTGGACTTTGGTTCCCTGCTTTTTGAAAATTTAACTTTTGGAGTTAGTTGAATCATTCCAACTTCATCCTCAATAAAGACTAACTTTTGTTAATTTAGTCTGCCTTCGAGTCTGTATCTGATTCTTGATTTACATTGTATGTCAGAGCACTTGCCCAAGAAATGAACCCAGGACTAATGGACTCCTTACTTGGCTAAAGGATTGTGTTGTTGTTACACTTCATGTCCCTTCACCTCCTTTACTATGTTTCTTACCAGCTACTTCCTTGTGCTCCCCTCCTCTTTCAAAGAGGAAACTGGACACTGCAGCTGCCTGAACATTCCTCTACCAGGGTAAGGTGATTCCAGACATAAACGCATCCTCCCTTTGAGGACAATGGTCACTAGACCTCCACAGAGGTCTAACAAACCAGCAGACGACTCCAACAAGGTCATCTGCTGGTGGACCTTCTGAACTGTTTTCACCTTCAGACCATTCCCCTTCTGAACTGCTCCCTACAGCACTTGTCCCGCTGACATTTCTACAACTCATTAACAGAGTTAAAGGAGATCAACATCCATGTTTTCTATCAGCTCTGTATGATCCTTAGGCAGGATGTCCTTTATAAGTCTTCAAATCACTGATTTATGATCATTTGCATTTCATATATAAAGAGACCTACACACGTTTTTCCTCTGAATATCATAAGGAGATGAAGGCCGATTCTGCCTGTGTTTTCACTGCAGTTATATTAACACAGCTCCTTGTGTCTGATGTGCTTTTCAGACGTGTAAAAACATGTAGGATCAAGACTGGCGGAACAAGGATTTTCAAAATGTGAAGGCAGAAAGAAGTAGGCACACAGTTTATTTCCTCTCTTTCTAACCAAAAATCAGTGGTTGACGCAGGAAGACGTTGCCTTGTCCAAACCACATCTATCTCACTTATTGTAGATGAGTGAGATAGATGTGTAGTTATGTTGCCTTCGGTTTCTACTGTTAGTTTGTCGTCTTTATTTTATGTTCTGGTTTATTTTGGTCAAACAAAGAAACTCCTCTCATGATATACAGTGGGGATGAAGTTACAAAACTGACAGACAAAGAAAGAGGAAGAGGGTTGTAGTTGAAGTGAACTATGAGCTGATGTCAGTGTTGGTCTGATACCATTGAGCAGCAGGATGGAGGAAACGTCTCTGCTGTGTCTGCTCTGTAAGCTCACTCTGTGTTTTTCATGCCTCTGCTGTCTTGTTGAATGTGAAACTCTGAATTAACCTGAGTTTCATTTCTCTTTAGTTCTGATCTCACTGCTGAGCTGCACCACAAACCAAGGTCAGTAACCTTCTTCTGTCACACTGTAAACCTGACTCACTCTCTTGGGACAGATTAATTAAGAACATGGTGCGGCTAACTGCAGACAGACCTCTTTTTTGTTGAATTTTGTTGTTTGTATTATTTTCCTAAACCTCAATCACTCCTTCTGTAACGGAGCGGAAAGGCTAATTTTATTTCCAAGATGTGGGTTTTGTGTTTTTTTTTAAAAGGAAGGAAACCTTCCTGAAAACGGGCAGAGCAGTGGAGCCGCCAAGGGAATCACCTCAATCACTCCTTCCAGCAGTTAAAAGTCAAACACTGGGTCAATTTACCTGGCATTTGAGCTTTTTGGACTTTCTTTGGACTTACTAGTTACACACACATGCATTTTTCCTGTTAGTGTGTAAGTTGTTATTTGAGTTCATAGTTGCATTAGTTTTGTTCCTCTTTCAGTTCCTTCCTTTGTCTTGTATGCTTTGATTTACTTCAATTGTTTAGTTGTCTCATTCTCTCAAGTTTCCTTTTCTTCACGTATACTCTTTGTCAAAGTGTCTGTTCTCCCAGTTATAATATGTCCAGCCTTAGCACAGGTTCCAGTTTTTAATTGGAATGTTTTCGGTTTCAATAAGTTAATATTTTTTGCTTCACAAGTTTGAACTTTATATTTTACCTTTTGTACTTCCTACCATCAGCCAAAATAAACGGCTTGCTTTCAGTTAAACTTAGCCTGCCTCGAGGCCTCTGCATTTGCGTCCTCACTCAACCCCATGACAGTAACTGACCACTTTGGACCCAGCAGATGCAGATGTCGTTTTTATGGAGGAGAACAATGTGGAGTGTCACGGTTCAATTCTATTCTATTTATATAGCGCCAAATCACAACAACAGTCGCCTCAAGGCGCTTTATATTGTACAGTAGAGCGTACAGATCTGCTGTACTATAAGTATGTACAGGCTGTAGTGAGTGTACAAGCTATGTACAGGGTATAAACAGGATATAAATATGAAAACTATACAGAAATATGAAATATGAGCTATGCAAGTTATAAACAGTTGTAAACAGTTGTAGAATTATAATTATCCTATTGTACAGAATGATTGTGTCTACAGCATTCACAGTAGTGCAGTTTAGATCAGTGAAATATGTAGATAATTCCTACAGAGGCCATATAAAGTGCTAGTGGTTTTGAGTGGTGGTTTAGTCCATGTTGTTATTGTGTGTATGAGGGTACAGTTTTCCATTTGTTAGTTTTTTTCCTAAGGTCTTGTTTAGACTCCTGTGGGAAATCTGTGTTGCAACCTATGAAGTAACCGGGAAGTCTATTTTAACCTCAATGTCCTAACTTTCCAACTAGCCCGATGGACACCTCCAGAGAACTGTGACTTCAAGTCGGGTCAATGCAGCTCACGACTATTGTAATTGGCCAGTTTAGCACAGTCGATTTGTCCTGTGCTTTTCTGGCTACTTTTTTTCCTACAATTTTTGAATTTATCAAAATTATCAGAATTAAACTAGGAATGCTAAAAATGTTGCAGATGAAACAAACCAAAGGTCAGCAGAAATTATCTTCCATTTGTATGAGGTTAAGGGTTGTAAAAGATAGCGAGACTTTGAGAAATACTGAAACCAAGTAGCTAAAATTATACTGATCTTTCGAAACATCCTGAAACCGATGTCTGTACAAACGGAGAAATCCCTGTACAACAAGGAAAGAAACATTGAGACTGTTAAAGAAAACAAGCTGACAAAAACAGTGTACTTCAGCAAATACTATTTTCCCCTGTGTTAACATATGTGAGGCTGTTTCAGTTGCTTAGTAATCCAGTACAATGCACAATAAACAAATGTATGAATATAGTGAGAAAAGATGGGCATGTCTGGATGACTGGTTCTCAGTAGTCTGAGGAGCTTGGAAAGAAAAGCGTCTGTATGTTTCACCTCTCATCCAAGAAGCTTTTTTACATCATGACAGATTCAGATTGTGGCCTACAACTGTTTTCACACCTTGGCTCGTGTGAATAAGTAGAGGATGATGAGGGGGTCCATGACCCTCTTGTGGGACACACCCACAGAGCTTAAATCTGGGACTCTCCACCCTTTGACCTTAGAACTGAAGAAGCTTCTCAGATAAGAGGTGAAGTGTCTTCAAGCAACTTAAAGAATTCCAGACGCTTTTCTTTCCAAGGTCCTTAGAAAAGATGAGTATTTTTATTTTAATAACCACAAACGTTTTTACCTGTTTTGGGACTGAATCATTTGCCTGCCCGGTCTTTGGTGTCAAAGTGTGTTTTTGTTTGGCCTTTCTGGTAGTTAGTGTCATCGGGTTTGTTGTACACACTGTCAAACAAAGCTAGAAGCTCCTGTGGCTTTGTGCATGGACCTAGGCGCCAGAATCCAAACACTTGAGCAATGGGCCGATCAACTTTCTCATGTTTAATTTTGAAAATAATATATTTTTTTAAATAAAAATAGTTTTCCTTCGACAAGAAAGGACATATTTTACAAAAGCTATCACTGGCTAATTCTGGAAAACTGTAATAGTCCATTTCAAACTGATAAATACCTTTTTTTTTTAATCGGAAGAAACAGAACTTTTTCAGCAAAGAATGAAGAAACTTTCCTAAAACTTCATTTGATATGCATGCTGCTATGGATAGATGACATATGCATTATTTTTCATTTAGTCTGAGTTTGACGTTTTGGTTAAATAAATCTGCATGACTTTCTCGGTTTTTGAGATATTTTCTGTCAGTGGGAAAAGGAAAAACGAAAACAGATGGAAGTTCGAGCTGGAAATTGTTCTGTCTGATTTTCTGATATAATTTAATACAATCACAGCACAGAGCCGATCTCTCTCTCCTGTAACTCTTTGGAGCTCATCCAAGAGTCTCTTTCTTTCCCTCTATATGTCAGTAAATGTTTGATTAAAGCAATTTTCGTGAACACTTTTGATCTCAGTGTTTAAGTAAATGAGAAGAGTATATTGCTCTTCACAGCAAAAATAACAATGAATCAGATATTATCCTCTTTATTTATCCAAGTGTATATGCTTCCACAGAAACCATCGATTCGAAGGAGCTGTTCAACATAGTGTCAGAATTATTGAAAAATGGCTATAATATATTATATATCATTTCCTGTTCCTCACAGCTCGTCTGACTGTGAGTCCCAGCAGCTCTCAGTTCTTTGAATATGACTTTGTGTCTCTGAGCTGTGAGGAGGACGACAGCTCTGCTGGATGGACTCTGAGGAGAAACACAAGCAAAGAAACCAGGACTCAGTGTGGAGATGAGTGGGGAGAAGGACCAGGATATTTCTGTAGCATGAGAGTTTTTCCTGAATGGGACACTGGAGTTTACTGGTGTGAGTCCAGAGAGGGTGCCGTCAGCAACATGATTAACCTCACAGTCACTGGTAAGCTGAGTGTGTGGAGTTAGTGTTGATGATGATTATGATGATGACAAAGCTTTTATTTGTCACTTGCCTGTAGCAAGATTGGACCTCTTCCAACCATACATATATTACACAAAAATCACAGGTCAGAACAGGTAGTGGAAAGAAAAAAAATGAAATGTAGGACACAAGAGGGCAGTGGAGGAGAGAAAAAGAGAACTCTACTCAGACTGAGCTCCTGGTAGAAGATCAGTATGAGAACAGAAAACAAAAGCCCCTCTGCACAAAAAGCACATGAATCTTCACAACATGACACGTAAACACATCACATCATCAGGAAGCTAAAGGGGTGGGTAAATGGGGTGAGAGTTCGCCGGTGTAGACAGCAGCATACGGTCCTGCGGCATGATGCTGCACCCTTCCCATCGCTCAATGAAGTATACATTATTATTTTTATTCCTACTATAAACTTATCCCTAACTTTAACAACAACCTTAATCGTGTTTGATAGACTTTTCCAAAACTATTCATGAAGAGAAAGTAAAATAAATATACATGTGTTGATTCAGTCCAAACAGTTCTCATGTTTCCTCCTGTTTCTGAACGTGTAGCATAGAGATGTGTTGTCACATAGTGTAATATGTTACGTTTTGGGATCGGGCACTAATGAACCCAGTTACCAGATGATCAAATCCATCTTCTTTAGGTTTTAGAGAACAAGGCTGAAAGACTCTCTGAGTTACACGAGACGAGACAAGGCCATCAGAAGCCAGGCATTAAAGTGTTGATGAAGCTGTGTGTAAATGGATGAAATGCTGTAGTTTGTCTCTGTGTTGAGGTGGATCAGTGATCCTGCAGAGTCCTGTCCTCCCTGTGATGGAGGGAGATGACGTCACTCTGCTCTGTGAAACAGAGACCACTCCCTCCAACCTCCCAGCTGCTTTCTATAAAGATGGCGTCTTCATTGGGAATGAGACTACGGGTCACATGACCATCCAGCATGTTTCCAGGTCTGATGAAGGGCTCTACAAGTGTGACATCAGCGGTCATGGAGAGTCTCCATCCAGCTGGATCACTGTCACAGGTGAGGAGCTTCACTCTTATGTTACCTCTTTTTTCATCCACATATTCACATGTGGTTGAAATAACCACATATTCTCTCTGCAGAAAAACATATAACCACACCTCTGCCCCCTGACTCGTCCTTACTCCACTTTGTGATTAGACTGCTCTTCCACCTGGTGGTGTTCTGTCCATACGTCATCTCCACTCTCCTCATGGTGTCTTTGTATCGAAAGAGAGCTAAAGGTAACACTGAATCATTCATTAATTAATCAATATGCTGAAATCTCTATAAATTAATGGCTGAAACACTTCATACATTTTTACAGGAAAAATCCTCCGTGTCCCGATCCTGCCCACTCAGCCTGAGCAGGGAGTGGACGTTGAGCATTATGATGTCATCTCTGATGTCACCACAGAGTATCACTTCTGAATCAGAGCTTTGGTGCTTTAGGTCTCACTAATGTTGTCCTCTCCACCTTTGTTGTGAATCTTGTATGAATAAAAGGACTCTGATGTTCATCTCTGGATATTTTTATGTAGATAAGCAGCAAATGTTCCCAAGAAAATCTACTGGAGCTCTCAATAGAAATTATATTGACTTATGATTGTATGCCCTACACTCAGTCACTACAATCAATTTTAGAGTTTCTCCACCTACTGAACCCACTTTAACCTCTGACTGTGCACATTTTACTGTTTACAGGCAAAGTCACCCTCTACAATGTAGGTGACTGAAAATAGAGCTAATGAGTACATTTCAGAGCCTGCACTTTTCTACTTATACTTGAGTAAGGAACTTGAATCAGTACTTCAACTTTTACTGGAGTATTTTTTTTACTTGTTTGTATTTGTACTTAAGTACAGAATGTCTGAACTTTTGCCAACTCTGCTTGCTCTGCCTCCTTCGCGATCATCAGTTTGAACTACCTGGCGTCCTATTGTTGACGTTTCTGACTGAATTCCAACGGCCAGGTTGTTGCTGCTGCTCACTCACAGATACTGACAGAGTGTAAAAGTGTTGAAATTGACTCTTTCTTATTGGTGCTTTTGCTATTAAAATGATATCTTGTGAAACTCTTTAAACTGTTCCTCTCGTTCGTGTACCTACAGCTCATTTGGTTTTAGCTGTGATACCCCCCTGCACTTTTTCTCCATCTGTTTTTGTCATAGCCTCGTATGACAGGTTGTGAGAGGTCCCAGGACTGAATCCCACACAAGCCTTACATTGTCACAGCCTGGCTCATAAGACCCACAGTCAGTATGAAAGATTAGTTGGTGTTGGATCATGCAATTTGTCGCTAGATACAGATAGAGATACCTGCAAAATAGTGAAAAGTATTATGTTAGCTTCTTCATCTACAGAGGATGCTACTTAGGCATTATATGGTCATGATAGTAACAAAAATGAGAAATTAATCAAACTGAAATACATTCAATAAAAAATTAATTGGAGTCTAGAAAACAGCAGAATTGAAATCGTATTTATCATTCATGACTGTCAGACATTTCTAAGACTCTCTAACAGAGTTAAAGTAGGTCCATGTTTTCTATCAGCACTGTGTTTTAGTGCTGATAGGTAGGATGTTCTTTAAAAGCCATCAGTTTGTGACGTGCAGTCTGATGTTGAGCAGCCAAACAGTGAACTCACTGCCTTTCTGACCACAAGTCAGAGGTTGAAACAGAGAGAAGCTAAAGCCCACCTCCAACTCAAAAACCTCGCAGCTAAACTACAGTCAGCCACAGGAAGACACAGCAGGTTTGTAACAATCTGCAACATGACTGATAAAATCATTATTGTCAACAAAACACTTAAGAATTTATTTTAATTTAATTGTGAAAATGTATTTCAAACAGTGCTTGATGCATTTATTTCACAAGTAAAGGTCAGAGAGTCAGTGAAGG